TACTGCCCACAGAGAAATGCTCTGATGAGCATTTCTCCCCTATTTCTTTGTTAGTGAAACTCCTGCTAATGAGACATTACTGCTTAATGTACAAAGCCTGCTGTGTTTGACTACACAGCCACCGGAGTTGGTAGCATTAAATTCACAGTGCTGTGCTTTGAGTTACCTTGCAGAATGAAAGACTTGATATATAAAGCAAACTCTATTCATTTTTGACTCACCCTTCACTTTTCCACAGGAGAAAATATTAATATTAAATTTCATTTCCCCCCAGGAACAGTATCATTTCCATTCTGCTGACACATATCTTAGCAACACAGGAGAAGGGGGAGAGAAAAGGGGAGTAGGGGAAGATAGAAAGTGTGACAGAGAGCTCTGGGAACTGATCTAAGTGTTTTGCACAATCTCAGCCGTTGCATTGCTGTTTCGGTTGACCACATCGTTGCTGTTTTGCAATGCAACTGACTGCTCTGACTCTCCCAGTGAAACTCCTGCTTAGCCTTCAAAACTATCTCTGCGTGGATTCATGGGGCTGCTGAGAGCTAGACTGCAAATGAGTAGCATCATGCATCCTAACATCGGCCAGTGGTTTTGGGAAACAGAACATATCCATGCTACAAGAACCAGACAGCAAAGAGGTATCTTGATAAAGGCAGAAAGATTCCAGCTAAGTCCTATGAAAATTCATAGTAATTCAAGCAAACCAGCTTCATCTTTGAATGATGAAGCTAAAGTGAGAAGTTTCAGATAAGTCTTAATGCAATGGTCAACTGGTTTTCATCAGGGGTTGTGGGCTTTCAAGTCTGGTGAAGATCTTGAAAATCTAAAAAACACATTTTTAGGTGTGACCTTTGAATTCCTATAACCTTGGACTAGATAACATTTAAGAGTTTCTTCCAACTCAAAGGATTTTATGTTTCTGTACAAATTTAGCACAGATATACAAGCAAATGAACAAACAGGATACTAACTTTCCAATAAGTAAGATATTCATAGAAACCAAATGTTAACTTCACAACCTGAAACCTTATTACTGATAATTTCCTTGAGTCAAGAGAATGGCATATAAAGCATGGCTTACATATCTGCATGAACTTTTGGAATACAGCTGTTCATGAGGACTATTTGTCAAAAAGATCCAGCAAACAGTACAAGGTAATGAATGTCTGGGGCATGATCACAGTTAATTCATTTATTATTTAAGGACAAAACAAAAAAGGTGATGAAATCTATCAGCATTTTTAGGAGTTATGCATAAAGCTGTAGCGAAGAGACTACTTTTTTATATAAATAACTTATATAATATTTAATATTTTATGGAGAGAGTGGATATAAAAATCTGGTCACTTATTTCCTCTCATACCATAGGATTAGCACAATCCTCATCTAAAACTGCTCATCACCAAAGAGAGAGAATATATATTACATTGTATTCCTAGCAAGATGAAGCAGCTTTCTGAAGTCAACTGCAGTTTTGCAGTCAGTACATAAATAAATTCACCTAAAAAAGTGTTTCCCAATGTGTTTTTTGATCTCATTCTCTTGAGAGAATTTCTTGAGATACCTACTGTACTGAGTGACAGGGCTGAGTGGGCTTCCAACAGAGCATTCCAAGAAGCTCTGGGCTCTTGGATCTTGGTGTTTGTGGAGCAAACTCATGAAAACCGACCACATCACTCACCCTCAGAAAGACCTGGATTCCAGATTGTGGTGTCCGTGGAGAATGTCCTCATCAAAATGTATTCCACATCTGACGAAGAGTGAAGAGCAATTTTAAGGAATGGATTTTTCTGGGCCTAGCAGTGGTAGGCCTGTGTTTGTGTAGAGGAAGAATGGAGGTCATTTCAACCTCTTTACTAAATATTTGGATTTTATGTAAGTGCATCAGTGCAAATGTGTACTATGCGTCAGGGCTTTTTTTCAGGGGAAGATATTTGTTGTATATGAGGATGTTTGAACTGGATTAAAGAAATGGGTAGGAGCCTATGTAAATTTAATAGAGCTTGAAAAGCTTCTCAGCGTCGTACCATAAAATATTGTTTTACCAGCAGAACTCAATACCGGCCTTATGTAAAAATACTCCCGCAGGGATAGTTCATGCAAAGTCCCCGTTAGGTATTGCCCTGCAGCCAACACAGGGATGAACAGGTACCTGTTCACAACAGAACACAAACAGAGCACATGCACACAATTGCTTAAGTGATACTTCCATTCACACACCTGTCTAGCCACAGAAAACATGTTTACGCACTGGCTAATGATGCCAGGGCTGATTGCCCTGGTTTTGTCCAGTGATGATATTTCCATAGAAGCCTCTCAGCCCCTCATTGAGTGGGGCAGAGCCCCACTGCCTCTGGTGCTGAGATAGAAATTTGCCCTGCGGACCCATGTGACTTCTCACTTAATTGCCCAGATTAAGGGTGTGTTTCAGATTAAGGCCCTAATACACACAGACGTTTCAATCAATGTACACAAAGTATGGCGAGAACCAGATCCCACCCACCCATGTTTGAGGGAAAACACTCCCACAGCAAAAGCTGTTGGGGATAATACTGGAGGTGGTTTCATTTACCAGAGCAAAGAACCGTGCTAGCAAAAGTTGTCATAATATAAATACCTCAAGGATGAAGATTTCTCCCCTAAAGAGAAGAGGAGGAAGGAATTAAAGGGAAGAAGAACACACATCCATAAACTGGTATCTTCTTTTTACCATTTTTTCTTAGAACCACCCCAGCTTATTAGCAAAGGTGGTGGGTTTTAATACTCATTTAACATTTTTAATATCTCTGCATAGCTGTTTTGTATCTCTATGTTTGTATATGTATGCTCATGTAAGTTTACAAATATGCATGTGTGTTCATAAGACTGGTGTACGTTATATGAAAATATATTTATACATACCTGCCACGTTCTGTTTTACAGAGGTATCATTCTCATATGTTATCTATTCCTTACACCTTCTCTATCTCTCTAGCACTACGGATGTAACTTTTCCATGCAAAAGGTGTGATTTCAATTTCGCAATAGGCATGCTTTCAATCTTCTTTACTCAACTGTCAATCCAGAGCCACCACAACAATTGAAATGAAATCATGCTAGGAGTTTTTTATAGCATAGTGAAGGTCAAAATATGTGCAAACTGGGACTATCTTTGATTTGCTCTGTGTAGGAGTTACTAACCAAGTGATTTGTGTTAACTCAATCTGAGGTCCATCAAAATCTCTCTCTTTCTCATAGCAGTGGCATTTCAGGTCTATTCTTTTTTTTGTCCATAGCACTGAATGAATGAAGTTCAAGCTTCTGCTGCTGCTTCCAGCCCTGCATCAATTCTGTCCTTATTTGTTGCATCCTTGCTTGTATACATTGCAGTAACTCTGGAGGTTTTTTTAATTCTGCCAAAGCAACTGTGTGACACCTTCCCTACAAGTTATCCCTGACAAATGCTGTTTTACTTTCTGTTCATTCTCCTGCACTCTGTTCATACGCTTCAGAGCTGATTTACTAAAACAAAAAATGTAAAAATTGGTTTAAAAAAACCAAAAAAGTAAGGAGAGAAAATGGATAATTATCTCTTCATGTGTGCGCTAAAGCAAATGAGAAACAGGACAATTTGGAAAGAGAAAATCTATGCTGAAAAAGGGGGGGGAAATCTAACAAAAAACAAAATTCTGATTGGTGAGCTGAACAACATTCTGAAGTGATGCAGAAGTAATGACTTTGCTGTAAATGGTATAAGCAGAGCAGCAGGAAAGGTATTACCAGAGTAGGCAGAAAGAAGTAAGGGTAAGGTGGATTGAGAGGGAGAATTTCCAACAGGAAGGAGTCAGAAGACTTATAGAATCACAGACTTATAGAATGGTTTGGGTCAGAAGGGACCTTAAAGTCCATCCAGTTTCAGCCCCCCTGCTGTAGGCATAAGCAGGACTGCCACCCACCAACTCAAGCTGCCAAGGCCTCATCCAACCTGGCCTGGAACGCCTCCACGGATGGAGCATCCACAACTTCTCTGGGCAGTCTGCTTCACCACCCTTGGACTAAAAAATTTCTCCTAGTATTTAATCTAAATCTCCCCTCTTTTAGTTTAAAACTATTCTCCCTTATCCTATCGCTATCAGAATCTGAAAAAAAGTCTTTCCTGATTATAAACTCCCTTTAAATACTGAAAGGCCACAATGAGGTGTCCTCAGAACCTTCGGCTCTCTGGGCTGAACAGCCCCATCTTTCTCATCTCATATGAAAGATGTTTCAGTCAATTTTTTGTCACTGTGGCTATTTGCTAGACTCACTCTATTACACTTGTGTTTATCTTGTACTGGAGAGCCGAGCACTAGAACTAAGCAGAGAAGAATTATTACTTTCCCTCAATCTGTTGGTTATCTTTTTTCTAATGCAACCTAGGAAGCTATTGTCCTTGGTTTTTAAAGTGTATGGCTGTCTCATGGTCAGCTTGTTGCCCACTGGCTCCTTCTTTGAAGAGCTGCTTTCCAGTCCGTTGGCTCCCAGCCTGTACTGGTGCCTGGGGTTAGTCCTCACCAGAGACAGGACCTGGTATTTGCATTGCTGAACTCCACGAGCTTCCTGTTTACCCATTTCTCCAGTCTGTTGAGATCCCTCTGAAGGACAGCACAACCATTTGACATGTCAACTACTCCTACTAGTTTTAAATCATCTGTGAATTTGCGGATGGTACACTGTGTTCCATCACAGAGGGCACTAACAAAAATCTTGGCAAGTACTGGCAGCAGTACTGACCCCAGGGACACACACTGCAGGTCACTTGCTGAACTTTTTGTCACTGGCCACAATGCTACAGGCCCTGCAGTTCTCAGTCCACCTCATGTGCATGCTCTCCCCAGTGCAGTGAAATACATTTCTGCAAGTCTCTTTCATAGGATGGCAGATCTCTCCTGTTCCCAGCTTCCAACAGTGTTTAAGTACCACACTGACCACCTTCTGCTCTTTACAGGTCACAGGCAGAAGGATCACCAGGTCTCCTGACAATGACCCATCTGTTTCTTTTTCTCCTTTTTGGAGCCTTAGCTCTCTCCAGCTCAGAAGGTGAGTTTAACATGATTCAGTTATATGTCTGACATTGTAAAAAATATACATATATATATACATAAAACCTGTCTCCTTGCTTCAACTTTTTGCCTCTGTTGCCAGAACAGGCTTACTTCACAGTCATTAAGGCTGAAGATCTGAGGTATTTTTCTAAATGTAAAATGAGTTTAATGTCATCTCGACCTTTTCAAAAAAGCACTGAGGAAAAACAGAAGTTAGAGACACTGCATGTGACCTTGCCACAGGGCAAGCTTCTCTCTTGCAAAGCTATGCAAACTGTCATTAGTTCCTGTGATTTATCTGTCCAGACCAGGTTCTGTGGTTTATCTGACCCTCTCACTCAAACCCAAGCTCTTTCCATGGCAGGGATTCCTTGCACAGAGATGGGTTAGTTTGAAGGTTACAGAGAATGCCAAGAGAAGGTGGAGACTTCCCCTCTGTGTTGCTGAAGTTCTACACAATGAGCAATGTACGACTGCTAGCCAAATCATAACCAAGTTGTGCAATCACCTTGGCTTGGCTAAGCTTTGGTGGCATGACACTATATCAGGGCAGAAGACATGCCCACTGTTTTGTGTCCTGTTCTGTCTCAGAGGAGAAAGGCTGCAACATGCTAGATATTCTGAGAAGGCATGAGCAGCACCTTAGCCAGTATCACTGCCTGGGATGGCCAGAAATCCAAAAGCACTCAGAATGCTGAAACAGTAATGCTGTGAATCTCCTTTCAGGAAGCAGAAAAGAGGGTATGGGAGGAAAATATTTATCATACCTTCCTCCATTTTTTTTTTTTTTTTCTTTTTTTTTCTTTTTTATTCTGTCTGGACTAGTGCCAAGCACATCTGTTCAAAGAGAGGAGAAATGTGGTTTCCACAAGATGAAACTTTGAATGGATACAAGTAGTTTCTAAGGAGACCTGCTCTGTAATTGTAAAGGAAATTACAAGCTGTGGTTTGGGGAGAGAAATCAATGATATTTTGTGAGTTGAACCCAACTCTGCTGACTACTTACCAATAAGGAAACTGGAAAGAAATCAATTCCAAGAACTTTCAACAAAATCCATCTTAATTCAGGTCTGACAGATGTATTTTGTTCTTCTCCAAAGCAGTGTGATGAACCAGCCTGAAATCCCTATTACTTTTGCAGAGATAGGCTCTCTCCAGCAAAGAGAGACTAATATACTACAATTCAAGGCAGGCAAGCCACATGACTCTTGGGAATCCACAGAGTCTTGCACACCTTTCAGAACTGGCCTGCTGAACCTGCTGCTTTGTTTCCAGGGGACAGAACCACAAATGTGATGCATTGCACCACACAGTGAAAAAGATTGCTAAAGTACTGCTGCACCCTCTGGACCCTGTAACGACAATAGCAAGTTAATTCTGCTTATAACCTGAATGGCATTTGAATCCTAAATTAGTGCTCTTCGTATATTGATGTTTTACATTTCTTATTAAAAAAAAAAAAAAGGAAAAAAAGTGTCTGGATGCCCTTCATTTTGTAGTTTCACTTTACTGGATGTCCCTGTGAGATGTTGAACACGGCTTAGTTGATTCAAGAGGTTATAAGGAAATACTACTTTATTTTCTGGAAAGATGAGTGAGAGTTCTGAGTTTATTCCGTGTTTCTTTCAGGTGCTGGCAATTCCACAGGCAAACATCGCAATGCTCGGTTCTTGTTTGACATTTTTGACAAACCGAAGCCTGAACATAACATAATTCCTAGCCCATCTCAACAAGACTCATCTGCAAAGCAGATCTGCCGAAGTCGATGCCAGAAAGGCTGGATTAATTATAAAGGCCACTGTTACATGCTTATTCAAGAGAGAATGACATGGTTGGAAGCTGAGGTATTGGGTCGCTCAAAACGGGAGTGTTTATCATTTCTTCTCTGCTTCCCACAGTTATTTTTTGTACCTAACTCTTTTTTCCTCCCTTTCTGCTACTTCTGTCATGTACCAGTGTTGACCGAAAGTACCTGATATTCGTATCAGTGTCCAGATGAGATTGGTTGTACTCTGCTTCACAAAATAACAGACTTCTACAATTAACAACCTCCTGCTTGAAACATAGACCTGGAGTTGCTATTTCTCCTCTCTTTCTGTATCCCTTTTGAGTTTTTTGAGCTTGGGGTCTTTTTTCCTTATGCTCTAAAATGAAGTATCTATATTAATAGAATGATAAGGGTTGGAAAAGACCTCTAATATCTAGTCCAACCATCCACATACCACCTATACTGCCCACTAAACTATGTCCCTCAATGCCATGTCTACACATTTCTTTAAGATCTCCAGGGATGGTGACTCCACACTTCCCTGGACAGTCTGGGAATAAATACACCAGTGAAGAGAAGATGAGGGGATTCTTGGGGATCATAAGAGGATTGTTAAGAGGACACCAAACTTACGAGTTATAGTTGAGATGTTTCTTCCCCTGCATCTCTTGTGGCACACAGCTTCATACCTCCTGGTTGGCCTTTGACTGATTCATCAAACCCCTTTTTCACTTTGTGATACTTCCTAAAAGACATTCTGACTTCATTTTGCTGCCTGCTCAGATGAAATCAAGTGAACCCTATAATTTGAAGCCCTGTGCCTGATGCTGTATCTTTGAAAACTAAAAAAAAAACATTTCCATAAAAGTTTAGCTTGGCATGCCATAATTCCTCTTAAGCCCTGTATACAAGAGTGTATGAAATTTAAATGCCTCAAGAGGAGAGTTTTCCCCTGAGCCTAAACGCCTGCTACAGTGCTCTTGCTTCAAGGTGCACAGAAAAGTATCCTTCTTTATCAAATGCAATTCAAGCTTTTTGAGTTGAGTTTAGAGAAACTCAAGAATGCAGCAGTGTTCCTGCCTACTCCATTTCCCATCTGGCTGAGGACATGAGGAAGAAATAGAGGAAGTAAATAGAATCCATTTGGACCAGCTACTCCAAAATTTCCATTTCTTCTCATTAGTCTTTTTGCATTTATTTTCATAGTGCAGTGCACTTTGCCTGAGTTTAGCTATCAAAAATATGGAGGTACATATGCTGTGTTGCTCAGTAAACTCTGTCCAGTGACAGCCACTTCGTCCTATCTCCCTTCAGTTTCTTTCTTGCAGTTTGGAGACACCTCCTGACTGTACAGAAAACCCATAAAACTGGTTGCACTACAGACACTACTCACTTGGTCATTTACTTTCACTGAGCATCTCTCCTCTCTGTTCCTCTCTTTTTCTATCTTTGATTTCTCATATTTGAAACTGCAAACTTTCAATGGATTTCCCTGTCTTTTCACATTTCCACTCCTCTTAGATTTCCATTTCTTGGACTTTCTCTTATTACCTGTCCCTTTCCATCTCCTAATCATTCATTCTACATTTTTTCTTTGCCCACTTCTTATTCAGAAAGGTTGTTATGACAAAACTGTAGCTATTTTATATTTTCCATGTTTAACTCTTTCTACTGTACAGAAAACATGTTCGGCTAAAAGTGCAGGAGGTCACCTAACCAGCATCACCAGTGAAGAACAGAATGAATTCCTTCGTAAACTTTCTCAGGGACAACAGAATACCCAGTTCTGGACAGGGGGAACTTACCAAAAGGCAAGTATGCCAGGACCAGAAATGAAAATGAACATCAGTTAAAAGAACTTTAGGACTCAACTGATAAATTTATTATTTTAAAAAATGCTTTTGTTTTCAAGTGGAGATCTTCCCTTTGTTGTCATAGAAAATAATTTCAGTATCATCAAAACTAAAAGAAGTATTAAATACTCCTGTTATATTCTTTCAATGATTTCGGAAGATGGGAAAAAAAATAGGAGTTGAAGGGAAAAAATGTTGAAGGGATAAACTCTCATTAACATCATATTCCAATTAAATTCCACCTGAAGAAGGAGAGCTGAGGTGCAAATCTCAAAGAAGAAGATGGATGGTTGGTAATAATTTCTCTACTTAATCTCAGTTTAGCAGAATACCGGGTCAGTAGACTCAACTTGGTTCTATAAATGGATGTATTCATTCAGATTCTTATAATGAATTTGTTCAGAATGTCCTCCCACCAATATTCCAGCCAATGAATCTACCAGCGCTTTCGCTGATATGATGAATTTATAATTAGCATTTTAGAATGGTAAAAGCAAGTGAATTTCAGATTTGTAAGTGCCTTTTAGAAGTAGAAACTCAATTCTGTAAGTTTCAGCATGTAACAGGGTGCATGAGTGACCCGTGTGTCCATCCCGAGTGTCTCAAAATCTGAATGTCACCTACCTGCAATGAATTACTCATGAGTGCTATTGTCTGTTCTGAATAACAAATATATTCAAGAAAATTACAATTTATTTGAGGACAATTCACGAACAGAGTATGAGGTGAAATTAATCTAACACGGAATTAAAAATGAATTATTCATGCTGTTCTACAGAACAGTGATATCCCCACAAGCAATAACTCTTTCAACAACCATAAGGAGGAAAGTCTCCACTCAGTCCTTTTTCCATATCAGTAAATATGTAACTGTACCAAATAACTTACAGAATTTAAAAGCAACCTGAATTCCCATTAGATTTCTGAAGGTTTTATTTTTTGTCTACAGGGTTCATTGTTGAGATGGAGTGATGGATCTCTGATAACCTTTGTCCAGAGGCCTCTGTCATCCATTTTCCATGCTGTTGGAGGACTAATTAACAGCTTGTTTAACATAAAACTTTGCCTGATGGTCAATATTGGAGGTAAGGAAAACCTGAGATGACTTATGATTCCTGTAGTTTACTTTGATCTTGAATTTCTGACATTTCAATGGGATAACTTTTTCCAGGATAAGAAAGAAAACACCATCTTATTAAAATGTTGCACAAACCTGCAATGTATGTACTATGAAAACACAAATTAAAACAAAATGAGATTTCCAGAGACTAAGCTGAGATTGCATGATTTCATGTCAGCACTGAAATGGTTCTCTATCACAACTGATTTTCCTTTGTGATCGCCCTTTGTCTGTTTCCAGGAGGGGCTCAATGGGACAGCTCCCCCTGCAGCCAGAGGCTACCATTCATCTGCACTTACAGACCAAGTCTGGTCCACCCTTAACCTATCACTGAACCACTGATGAAACCTGACTGGCTGCAACGGCACTTGGAATTGAGTTCACCTGAAATACATTAGTGCAGAAAAATCTTTTGCATGGAAAAATCAAAGTCTTATCCTAAAAAGGAAGAGGTGTTATAGCAAGTGACATTTCTGTTCTGTTTGCATTATTGTGGTGATGTTCCTGCAGACTATCTTTATAATGATCTTATAAAAATAAATCCTGATTTTATTTGAATGCTTGATTAAATCAGAGTACCGTTTAGCTTTTCCACAGGGTGTTCAAGAATATTCATAAGAGCTCTTTAATTATTAAATAATTACCAATCACGCATTAAAACTTCATTCATTTCACCATTTAATCATGCCAAGTAATACATTTTAAATCCTAGATATTTTTCCTTTTTTCGTGTCAGATAGATCCAAGTGAAATAAATTGAATATTTTTAATATTTCAGTAGATAAATGGCTAGTTCAAGAAATAGGAATAGTTATAAGATGAGGCCCAAATCACAGGGAGAAGTCATGAGCGTGTCATTGGGCCCAGGACGTAGTACATCACTTTGTGAACTGAATAGGATGACACCACATTAAATGAAACAAAACCATGCTCTCATGGTTAGAGTTTTCTAAGTTCTCAATATGATCTATCATGTGTTTCCCTGTGAAGAAGGACTTGGGGGTCCTGGTGGATGAGAAGCTGGACATGAGCTGGCAATGTGAGCTTGCAGCCCAGAAGGCCAACTGTGTTTTGGGCTGTATTAAAAAAGGGGTGGCCGGCAGGGAGAGGGAGGTGATTGTCCCCCTCTACTCGGCTCTTGTGAGCCCCCATCTGCAGTACTGCGTCCAGGCCTGGGGCCCCAAGTACAGGAAGGACGTGGAGCTCTTGGAAAAGGTCCAGAGGAGGCACTAAGATGATCAGAGGGCTGGAGCACCTCTCCTATGAGGAAAGATTGAGGGAACTGGGCTTGTTTAGCTTGGAGAAGAGAAGGCTCCAGGGAGACCTCATTGTGGCCTTCCGGTACTTGAAGGGAGCGTATGAACAGAAGGGAAATGGCTATTTAAGAGGGTGGATAGTGATAGGACAAGAGGGAATGGTTTTAAACTGAGACCAAGGAAGCTTAGGTTAGATATTAGGAGGAAGTTTTTTTTCACTCAGAAGGTGGTGACACACTGGAACAGGTTGCCCCAGGAGGTTGTGGATGCACAAGAAGCAACTTGAGGAGTTGGGAGGTTGGGGGGGTTGAAACTAGATGACCACTGTGGTCCTTTTCAACCCAGGCCATTCTATGATTCCCAAAGGCAAATTTATTCACTTTCCTTTTCTTAGTTGTAACTACCTCTATTGCTGACCTCATCAGCTAGTAGCAAGCTCCTATTTCAAAATACTTTCCCTCACTACCTAAAAATATAAAGGAAAAAATTTTGGCCAGGAATGCTTACTTGGCTCATTGAGGTGATGGCAAATCACCTCATCAGTTAGGGAGAATGAGAACAGTCATCATTTCAGTCATCTCATTATCATTGAAGAATAGTTACAGATATAAAAATGACAGCTTCTCTACTTGTGCATTCCCTCCCTATAAGGCTGGTGTCAGATTTACTCATGTGGAGTAAGCTGAGAATGTGGACATGACAGAAGAGAGTGCATCAAGGGTTTTCTGAGGATTGGACTAAGCTGCTGCTAGAGAAGTAAACATCTAACATGGGTACACAGCTACAGTTCCTTTCCACCCCCAGAAGGGACTGCAGATTCAATATCCGTAGAAATAGTCATGGGAAGACTAAGGAAATACACATCTGTCTTACAAGGTCATTGCACAATGTGGCCAGCAGTGTTCAGACAGTAAAGCAGTACAGGCCACAAGCCTGCTGTGCCATGGGAATACAGGTCAAAAAGATGGACAACACAGAAAATATGCACCTGTAGCAAAACAGAGGTCTATGCCACCTAGAAACTATAATTACATTAATCAGGATATAATTTTTACTAATTTGTCTTCAACCCAAATGTGTATGAGGGTGGTGTAAATAACAGCAGAATGTAAGTATTTTGTAACACTCATGACACATAAGATCCAATGTACATGCATTTTACATAAGTACATGAGGAACATGACTAATTAAGATGGGTATAGTTGCAGGTAGCAGTCTATGTAACAAATTAGAATAAAGAGAATAAACACAATGGGCTGCAAATAGGTAGGACATTCTGCCAAATACATAGGAACGCTGACTGTCAAAACTGAAAACAAGATAAGTGGCATCTAGAAGAGTTAAGTCCTCCACTTTTAAGAAGGGAAATAGCATAAAATCATCAGACATCAGCAAGAAATATCAGAGAAGAAAGAAGACAAGCCCACTTCATTACTGTCTCAATCACCTCAGTGTTGGTGACTGAGGACTACCAAGAACCATAGGCATCTACAGTATCAACTGTAGGGCATCTCTGTAGTGCCATGTCCTCACAGCTGGCTGTGACTGTTAAAGACAGTTCTGTGCACACAGTGATGATGATGAGCATGTATGGAATTAGCCACTACACAAAAGATGTTGATGATGAATGAATATGGCAAATAATTGAGTTTAAAAGTACTCTGATTTGTCAGTGTTCCCATGCTCTGATAGATACTTTTCAAAATGCAAAGACTTACCACAGAAAAGGGAGGAGAATGAAAAGATTGGAGATTTTGTAATGTAATTTCTATATCTTCAGCATCAATATGAACAATAACACAGCATCCATAGCCTAATCTGCATTCACTAGGTCACTGACAAACTGATTTAAACAGAAGCCATTACTTCAGTTAAATTCCTAATAATGTTTGTTCACACCAGAGAAGCCTTATTACAGTTAGCAGTACCTCACAATTTAGCCTATCAGTGGACAGGGTCAGCAGAAATAGCAAGACCTTAAATAACGAACTTGAGCCTTGCCCCTAGAATGAACATCTATTGATCTTAAATCACTTTCTAAGAGCAAGCAACTCCTTTCAGTCAGTCTGTCTCCTCCCAGAACATGTTTCAGCAACAATTGTCCAGTACCTGTGGGTATCAAAAGATGAAGAAATCTCCTGGAGTGGGACTTTTCATGCCAACACCATTAGGCACTCGAATGCTTTCAGAAATATGACCCACAGATAGACTTGTAAACGTGAAAATGCTCCCACATCCTATTTATTTATGAACAAAAAGCTTCTATTTTCAGGCAATAAACTGAGCATCCTCCCTGAGCTGTACATGTTTGGGAATACTATTTATTAATTCATTTTTAAAAAGCAATTAATTATTGTGCTCCCAAGCTGATACGAAGGAATCTGTTTATGTGCCATAACCATGAATTAGAATAGTTTTATTTATTTTTTATATTATGGTAATGCCTAAAGGCCAGAAGAAGGAAGGAAGCTTAATTATCCTAGGTGCTCTCCAGGAAGGCTTCAGGAAGGCATGCACTCTTGTTCTGAAAGCTTATAGCTTAATTTATGAAAAGAGAGCATTAAGACTGATGAAGGAGAAATGTTCGAACAAAGATGTGAGACAATTTGCCTTTCTTGTTTTCTGCACTTGCTCATGAAGCTGATGACCCTTTTTTGGAATGTCTGGGCTGTTCATTGTTGTGTAGCAAAACACAGTATGGAGGAATAGGAAGGGGAGCACCATTCCCTGCAGAAGACACATTTGATTGACTATTCATTAATTAATTCATTAAATTCCCTCCTTGTACAGTGTTAGGACTGTGATACAATACAGCCTAGAAGACCTCACCAAACCATCTGAACTTTGTGGTAGCCCTTTGTGAATGTTTTAATGCTGACAGTCAATCATTCTACACACTTTGCCTAACTTGTGGATTCTTTTCTCTCAGGCAGTAGATGACATTAGACTGGTGTCTTGTTAACACAGTTTTCTGAGCTATGCAAACTAAAGCTTAGTCCTGATTTGTGCAAGCAGCTAACACAACATGAAAGCTAAAGGGATAAATGTGAGCAATTAGGCATAAGGTTTGTTTTGTGATGGAATGGTCCAAAACGACACACCATAACATGGTTGGGAAAGAAATGAAAATTTCAAGTATTCTTTGTATTTGATTGGCAAAAATGCCATTGAATTGGTGTTCTAAGCCATCCTTCAGCACGCAGCTAACTATGGCTGGGCTTGTGACTTTACACTTAAGCCAAGATTTAATATTAGGATGAGAAGATACCAAATAACAGTAAAAGGAACAAAATTCAAAATTAACAAAAGGAAGTTGTTCTTCACATAGCAGAATTCTTCAGCAAAGGATCTTGCAGGTCAAGAAAAAGTACAGATTCCAAGGAAGACTGAAAACATTTGAGACATCAACAAATCTTGATCAGATTCAGAAAGTCACAAAAATTCAAAGACATTAAAGGCTGAGAAAGAGTGAGGAGGAAAACATTAGAATTACTTGGCTCCTCTTATGTTCTTTCCTAAACCTCCACTCCTCAACATTGTAGGAAATAGAATATTAGACCTAAAGAACATTTAGTTTGACCTGCCACTCTCTCATTACATTACATATTCCTAAGAAATATACCAAGATTTTATATATATATTTAAATATATATATATATATATTATTTTGTGTGTGTGTTTGCTTTTGGAGACAAAAGCCTAGCTCTTCATATGAACATATATATAACTGCCTTATTTCACATACAATCATATATGCAGGCTAGATGTCTCTGTAGATACATGCATAAACTTAAAGATCATCCTTTGATCATAGCAACAACAACAAAAAAGTAATTTCTTCTGCTGGATGAGAACTCTGCCTTCCACTATTGAATGTTAAGGTAAATGCCATAGAATTTGAATAAAAAGACCACCAGAGTCCACAAATGACATAGATCAAATGCACCTAATCCTGTAGAACCATGCCAGAAGGATGAAAAATCTCTTGAATAGTTCTTTTTGCATTTATCTGGTAGAAAATACATAAAATCATGCTTTTCTTCTTCTAAAGCAAGAAATCCATTTCTGTAGCTATGGTTGGTTGTGCTGAAAAGGAAAGAGAGGAATAAAAAAGGAAAAAAGGAAAAAAAAAAAGATAATTCAGCTTCCAGACCACTACAATAAACAACAAAACCCTCAAGAGTCTCTAACAATTTTCTTCTTGCTTCTAGGTGATGATTAACATACATGCTTCAAATACTCCAAGGGCTAATAAAACACCCTATATCATGCACACATACTGGAGAGAATTCATCATTCCTCAAAAGTCTTTAAAATGTTGCCAGAAGCTCTTCCTAGGAAGCAGTAGTTTTTCTCTTGAAATGTTATGTTCTGTTTACAGAGGGGATACCTTTTATAATAAAATTATTATTATTAAAAGGGATACCTGTTAAAATAAAATTAAATAAAAATATAGATAGATGGATAAATATATAAATAGATGTATAGATAGTTTACAAATACAGCTTGAACAATATAGCACCTTCACTGAAGTATCAGTAGCTCAAAAATAAAATACATTCCCGAAAACAATGCTTATCCTTTCTGGATAGGATTTGTGTTATGTTATCACAGAGAAATGCCTCTTCCAAGATGGTCCAAAGGAAGAGAGGACTGGAAAAACAGATGCAAGGAGACTCTTATCTATAACTGCACACAAGAAAAACTAGACACCATTCACCTGGGAATTGTACTAGCAGAATCTCACAGATTTTTTCTTTTACTACAAGGAAGAATCATAGAATCATAGAATTAGAAAGGTTGGAAAAGACCTACAAGACCATCCAGTCCAACCATCCACCTATCACCAACAGTTCTCACTAAACCACGTCCCTCAGTATGACATCTAAATGTTCCTTGAATACCTCCAGGGTCAGTGACTTCACCACTTCCCTTGGCAGCTCATTCCAATGCCTGACACCTCTATCAGAAAAGTAGTATTTCCTTACGTCCAGCCTGAATCGCCTCTGGTGCAATGTGAGGCAATTTATCACTAGTTACATGAGATAAAATGCCAACCCCCAGCTCACTACACCCACCCTTCAGGTAGTTACAGAGAGCAATTAAGTCTCCCCTGAGCCTCCTCTTCTCCAGACTGAACAATCCCAGCTCCCTCAACCTGTCCCCATAAGACCCTCACAGTTTTGTAGCCCTTCTCTGGACACACTCCAGGGCCTCAATGCCTTTCTTGCAGTGAGGGGCCCAAAACTGAGCATGGTACTCAATGTGTGGCTTCACTAGTGATGAGTATGGAGGTACAATTACTTCCCTGTTCCTGCAGGCAACACTATTTCTTATTAAAAGAAGATGATCTACATTTGTGTACAAGGCTGATATGATAGCAAGGCTATTTTGAACCACGTCTCCAGGGTTGCTATGCTAAGCTATCACAAAAGTGCTTTCCATTCTTGCTAACCCTCTGCTGTACTATGTGGGCATCACGGTGGCAGTCTGAGTGACCAGAGATCAAGCCCTTCTTAAATGGATCACTGGGATCACTGATAACATTAAGAATAAAAGATTTATCTCCTCGCCACCTTGCTAGATGAGCTAGATTTAGCAGTATCTCTAGTTGGCAAGACTGAGAAATTTAATTTAGAAATGAGAGATGAATCATTCATGAAAAGATTTTATCTCATGAATTCAGATTTGTAGATCAGCTCCATTGCTCTGTGTCTGTTTCTCTCAATATCATTATCAGAGTTGATGATCTACAGGCTGGTAGTTCTTTGAGAGACCAAGATAGCTAATCACAGCTCCACTAGTCCAAGTTCTATGCAAACAAAAGAACAGCTTGGGTGGGACACGTTTCCTTGACCCTAGGCATCTACACTGCTGTCATCTATGGAGAGTTGTCCTCATCTACCTCCTTAGGCCTTGGAAAGCAATTGGCATATTCAGGGAGAAATTTCTCAGCCAACTCGTCTAGGGTGAAGTGGATCACAACTTGGAGTCTCCATTTCTCTGCAAAGCCAGTGAACAGAGTTTAGCAAGGCAGAAATCCTTGACAGGAGGCAGAAGACAATGTGCCATTACAAATTAGTGCTTTGGAAGATGTCAAGTCCTTTGGTAAAGACACAAAGCCCTCAAATTGTCAAGTTTCCTGATCTCCCCTAAGCAGCTTAATGAATCTGAAATTTCTGCATTGTGCTTTACTTCGAAGTATCATAGAGAATACCTGCAACCCAACACTTCTATCTCATCATGAATCACAATCTGTGTTTTTCATTCCATACCCATCTATCTTCCTCCAAGCTCATCATTTGTGTGTTTAACTAATAATGCAAATCACAGAAGTTTTGCTTTTCCTGGTTTAAGCACCACAGTACTGGATTAAAAAAGCAAGGTTCTTTTATTGAATGGGGGAAGGTGTCCACCAGGATCGGTCTTTGAGTACCCTGAAGATGCTTTTCTTAATTTAGACCAGTGTCCCCACAGTCAGCATCTCAGGTATGGCTGCGCCAAGGCTACTAGCAGAAAAGCTAAGGTTCAGATTGTGTGCTAACAGATGCAGACAAAATGCACTAGTTAGTGTCTAATTAGTCAGCTCTACATACACAGCAATGGCAGCTGAAAATATGTGTTGTACCTTGAGTTTCAGGAGCCTTCACCACAGGTAGCCAAATTTTATTTTAATGTAGATTTCTGGATTTCTTGGAGAAATGTAGGGCATATCTTTTCATTACTCATCGCCATATCTGAGAAAGAGAGGGTAGAAAGAACTTGAAGAATAAATATTTTAATACATGAAACAAGGAATTATTAATACTCTGCTTCTTATGCAGAATATAAAGTGTATATATAATTTCCAGGAGGAGCTGATTGATGATGCAGCTCAGCTAGAAACTTTCTTCATTAGGTGGAGGCAGACAGGCAATGCATGTGAAGTCACATTGGGCTACTCAGGCCAGCCAACACATGAGGCTCCCTGGAAAAAAATAA